AGGTCATGCTCGGTGGATGCTTGGGTGCTCTTTGGGTTGGCCCGTAGCACGGCCATGCACAATGCAAAGTTATTGGTCTTCTTGCATGTGCGAGCGATGAAGTTGATGTCGGCGTGGGTGACGGGCAGGCCATAGGACATGGCCGCAACCACAATGAGAAGCATAGCGTTGTTGTGTTGATGTAATACATGGCGACTCTACATATCTATATATACACGCTACATGGGAGAAAATCATACTGATACGATACGCCTTAATGATGGTCTACTTTGTTCTTTTTGCTAAAGGTAAGCGCATATCAAATGTGTAATAGTACTTGCGAATCAAATAGTGATGTAGTTATTAAATGTAGAATAAATGCATCAAATCAACAAATAAGGGTACCCCTACTTTCACTGAGCTTAGAATTCCCAAATTAATGCATCTTATTTATGAGAGGAAAGATAAATTAATCTTTGATTGAAATTTATAAAAAAATCAACTAATAAATGAGCTCTAGTAAAAAAAGGTAAATACATTGATATGGAGTATAAATACATTGATATGGACATCATGTAAGAAACTCATTATGATATTGTCCGCCTTTAACTTGATATTCTTTTTGGCTACACGTCTGGTGGGGCCCTCAGCTATAATATTAAGCAAATTTTTAAAATATATTTTTAGTACTAAAATGTTTTTAAATATCTTTTTTTGAGACAAATGTTTTTAAATATCTAGCACCCTGAAAAGTACAACCAATTTTTTTCATAGAAACGACTAAAAGACAAAGAGACCAAATAAACAAATAAAAAACTCATGGAAAAGTGGGCCGGCCCGTTTTTCCTGGCTATCAAGCGGAGCATATCCTATTTAACGCTACCAGGCCACCAATAGTAGGCAGCTCTTAATCAGCGCTTCGAGCGCTGGGTTGCCGTACTGGCACACGTGCGCGTTCTCTTTGCGCGGGCCCATTAGCATGAGAGCTAGCTTTGATCGCTAGCTCGATCGGGTCCGCTAAAAAAAATCTCTAATTCGGTCGTTCCATTGACCATTTAACCCTGTTCATAGATATTTGGAAAAAAGTTATCTGTTTTGAAAAAGGTTTATCAATTTGACGAAAATTTCACAAAAAAATTCATTGATTTTGAAGAGAAGTTCACAAATTTTAATTAAATTCATCGATTTTGAAAAAATTTCATTGATTTTCAAACAAAGTTCGTAATTTTTTTAAAAAATTCATCGATTCCGTTAAAGAGTTTACGATTCTGGAACAAGTTCATCGTTTTTGAAGAAAAGTTACGGACTTGGAAAGTTCATTGAATTTTTTTTAAGTTGACGGATATGAAAAATAAAGTCCTTGTATTTTGGAAAAGTTCATCGATTTTGATAAAAAGATTACGATTTTTTTTAAAAAGATCTAGTTTTATAAACAAATATTCACGAATTTGCAAATAGTTCACGCATTTAAGGAAAAAATAAAAGTAAAAGAAGAAAAAATAAGAATAAAAATAAAATAAAAAAGAACAAGAAAAAAGAAAGAAAAACCTGAATAAGAACCGCCCAGAAACCATTTAGCGAAGCAGGAAAACCGATTTGGGAAGCTTCCCAAAACCAGGGGCCTCCGTGAACTGAAAAGGAAGAAAAGGAAAAGAGAGTAGTTAAATTATTTTTTTGAGGGGAAACATCTGGCTTTATTCATTTACTGGGACTATTACAGGAATGCTAATAATGTCTGGTAAAGAAACAAGCCAACCGTGGCGCCCGATGGGTAGAGAAGCCGAAGCTTTAGCAAGATCATGAGCCTCTACGTTATGTCGACGACATTCATGAATAAAAGTAGCCTTCCGGTAGGAGCTTCGACGATGATCGATCTCTGGAAGAATAGCCGTGTAATGACATGGAGGAAGAGATGTGATGTTGTTGATAACCTCCTGGCAGTCAGAAGCAACCAAGTGATAGCCGATGATAACCTCCTGGCAATCAGAAGCAACCAAGATGTCAACTAGCCCATCGTAGACTACTGCAGAAGCTCCCAAAAACATGCCATTGGGATCCCGACAAATAGCCGCAGCAGCTCCTGGGTCCCCGGCGCGATTCAAAGCACCCAAACACGTTGATTTTAGCTATTGCAGCTGGTGGCGGGAGCCAGTGTGCCCTTTTTACGACTGTTACATGATGTCCCCTGAAATGTTTGGAATCACATGCATGAGCTTGCTGTAGATCTTCTATGAATCTCTTAACGAAAAGGGACTCCATCGCTGGTTCTCTACAGCGTTGGGGTCATAGCACTTTTGGTTCAGTCCGACAGGAACTGCGTGCACAGCTTGAGAGATTTCGTGCCGACCCACTCCGGGTAGGACCAAGTCCACGAGGAAAAATTGTTGAGGCCAGAATTGTGGAACTATGCTACCGGGAGGAAATTAGGGCATGTACAATGGTTGATAAGATAGTCTTATCTTAAGTCTTGCATGTAATCTAGAGATGACAAAAAACAGAGTCTACAATGGGTCATCTCTTAGCCTTATCTTCAATAACTAGCAATTCCTAAAAACGTGTTGAGACATATTGTGCTAAGAGATCATCTCTTGTCTTCTCTTAAATAAGATAAGACAAGCCTTTTCTTATAAGTTCTCTCTCCTCCACCTCATCATTTATCCTACGTGACACTCCTAAGATAGAACCATTGTACATGCCCTTATGTGGCATCGACGAGCGCGAATCCAGTGGCTGGCCGAGGGAGATAGTAACTCGGGTTTCTTTCATCGCAAAGCAAGTGCACGAAAGTCCATGAATAGAATAACATACCTACAACGAGCTGATGGATCTCTGACCATCAAGAACTTGAGTCCATGGCCACAAACTTCTATCAGGGCCCGCGTAGTCGCCCTGATGCAACCGCCGCAGGCAGTTCCTCAAGGACGAGCTGCCGTCCACGATCACCAAGGCGCAAGGCCGCATCCTTCATTACCTCGGAGGTGGCGGTCACTCGGGATCGAGGGTCGTCGTGTCCGTGGAGGTGCAGGCCGCGAGACAACATGCACGTTACGACCGGCACAACGCCGCCCACCGCTCGGTGTTCGCTAAATCGGACGAGGCGCCGTAATGGGTCCGCAATGACCCAGGCCGTGCCACCACCTGTGCCCTCGACAACTCCTTCACCACCAAGGAGACGACCGCCCGGCAGTGACGCCGCCTTGACAACGAGGAGTTGTTTCTTAGTGACTCCTCCGCCAACATAGGCAGCGGCAAGATGGCCGCTAGAGCTCTGCGGGCGCCCTCGGCATTGGTCGTGGCGGCCCTACACACCGCGCTGGAGGAGGCGGAGCGGATTCTCCGCGAGCGGCACCGGCTCCCTAGTGCCGCTGGAGGAACGACGACGACGACACTGACGGCGATGGCAATGCCGCTGGGCAGGGTGGTCATGTTTACGAGGTGGTTGTCTGGTACAAGCATATGCTTTTTTTAGTTTTCTGTTAAGCGGCTAAAATATCGGTCGTATATGTAAATACCGTTATCTCTGAACTTGAATGAAGTCGGACGTGTTTGCTTACATTTGTCTGATTATTTTAAATCATGTTTGAAATGTTTGCTAATAGCTTTGAATGGTCATCTTCCGCATCCGTTTCCGCAAACTGGTCCCTTGGTCCACGGACGGATGCGGGAGCAGATTTTTGGTCGGCGACGCCCTTAGGCCGGAAAATATTTCTTAGACATACATGTACGGTGTTACTTTTGTATCACAGAACACATACTAATAAGAATTGTTATTGGTTGAAACTTTGCCTCAACGAATCAAAATACGCAACCTACAAATAAAACACTTGGAAAGATAGAAAGAAGAAATAGCAAGAAAAATAGAAAGAAGAAATAGCAGCTAGCTAGGGCCTCCCAACAAGTAAGTGATCAACGCTACCCCCTGTATAAGCTTGAGCCTTTCCAGCGACTCGGCTGCTGGTTGGCCGTGGTCTCCATGGGGCGCAAAGTAGTCGTTGGTGCACACGTCGAAGACGGTGAGGTCGCAAAGCATGCACAAGCAGCCGTCCCTGAGGTGCTTCTCGTCGTCCAGGTCTTCAACCTTGATGAATTCATCCCAACCCCATGAACGGGCGTCGTGCGAGAAGCTCCGCGCCCATGTCCCAGCCCCGCCTTGGGCCTCACCGCCGACCTCATTCGGTAACTGCTTCTCGCCGTTGATGCACGACAGCCTGCCATTGTTCTGGTCTAGGAAGCTGATGTGGAAAGCCGCGGCGGCGTCGCCGGTGGGGTCATGGCTGGCGTGATCGAGGTAGAGGGAGAAGCCTTCATGGCTATCTAACCAAATTGAACTGAATCGGTGCTTACCATGGAGTACGAGAGCGAGCGAGCGAGAGAGAGAGAGAGAGAGAGAGAGAGAGAGTACACATCACTAAAGATGTTCAGGATGTTTGAAAACAAGCACACATAGTGTTGAGGTGGCTAATTCATACAGGCGTTGACTTGAGTATAAAAACGGTCCTACAACTGTGGGGTTGCAAGCACTCAAATCATTAGTAGAAGGCGAAGGCACGCATCACCTTCCAGTATTGTTGGATACTACTCCCTCCGTTCCTAAATACTATAAGTCTTTGTAATGGATCATATATGGATGAATCTAGATGCATTTTAGAGTATAGATTCACTCATTTTGCTCCATATGTGGTTCATAGTGAAATCTCTTCAAAGACTTATATTTAGGAACAAAGGGAGTACAATGTACACAACACACAAACGCACACTTTGATGCGCAAGCTGATGTATAGAAGCAAATCAACACACACAAGCCCTATGGAAGAAGGAGCATTGAACAACCATAATTTCACATTGCGATTTGTTATGCAGCAAAGATAAACAGAAATACAAGAATACAAATTCTAAGCTAAAACGCCAGAGGCGATGCGACGCATTCCTCCTACGCCATCTCACAAAACCAGGTCGTGGCATACGACTACAAGGAGCCATGTTATCTCCTATGCAGGGCACCCCTGATTACATGTGTTTTTCTATGCGTGGCACCCTTTCTTCTTCTTGCAGTTGTTGTTGCAGTCGTTCTTGCAGGTGGGATAGCACTGGTTGAACCTGCCAAGCTTGCATGAACCACAGCGTGTGTAGCCGTCGCTGACCCCGAAGCAACCATTTTGAGCTACAGTGTTGCAATCACAAGTGCATGTGTCGTTGCTACTGCAACAGGTACCTTCTGTGGTGCACCTCTTCAAGAGCTGACGCCGGCAGTCGGCCTGACCGCTGTTGTTGTAGTCGCAGGTACTGCCGCAGAGGGTTTCAACCTCTGCATCGCAGTTGGTACGGCATAGCGTCTCGCAGTCGCTGCATAAAGGCCTAGGGCCCCCCAGGGAAGACATAACCAGCATGGCAAAAATAGAAAAAGCAAGAAGAGAAGCCCCACCTGCAGCCATTGTTGCCAAGCAAGCTTTGTTTGTAGCTAGAACCTAGAGATAAATATGTGGAGCAAGAGATGTGAATAAGATGGAGCGCCTGATACTATTTATAGGCTAG